CCCCGAGGTGTTACATACTGATACACTGACAGGCAATTATCTTTGGAGAGAGTGTTAAAACACAATAATTAATTGGAAGAGTAAGCGAAAGAGTGGTGGCCCCAGGCTGAGGCAGAATGGTATTTCTAGAAAACACTCTGTGAGGCTGGTAATTTAGCCTCAGTGGGTCATTTGATTGCAACACCTCCCCAGTCCGGAAACCTTCCCAGTGCTTTGTTTTTCAAAAGCATTAGCCATGGATGTGTCTCAGATGTCATTAAAGTGCAGACTAACCTCCCACAACAACTTTCCAAAATGGTGCCTGGCAATAGAGAAAAATCACTGCCTTGGTAAAGATGTCTCACACAGCCCTGCTTTTGTGATGGCCAGTGCTGGCAGTGTCTTTGTTTCAAACGGAGGCTGATACATGTCTGCTTAAATAAAACATTCGCACTTTAGCTGATTTGGTGGGAACAAGAAGTTCACATGCCAAAGCATGGGCTGACCTTCCCGACCCGCTCCACAGCAGCAGCAGGGGGGGAAGGCCACATTGTTGTCTCCTTTTACTAACAAGCATGGAGAAGGGTGAGCTTTTCTTTTGCTTTTCTTTTTTTTTCTTTTTACCATGGTGACATCCATTGGCCTATATTTGATATTCTGCATAATATACATGTGCCAGCAATCACACATTTGATTGGGAAGGGGGAAAGGGGACGAGGAAGGAAGAGAAGGATGGAGGAAGCCTTTTACACTTTAGCAAGAACCTGAATGTATTACAGAGGATTCCTCAGTTGCAAGCGGGTAGAAACCACCTGGATTTAACTGAAAGGGGGAAAGGGGAGATTTATTTTTAGGACACAGGATTTCTAACAGAATCCAAAGGAAAGCAGGCTTCCTGACCTCGGAAACAGGTCAGAACAAAAAGTCATTTGCTCTCCCTCCATCTCTTGTCCCTAATAAGGGCTTTATTGGCTTTTGCTGTTCAAGCTGGACCGTTTTCCTCTCTGGCCCACATGGTCATGGACAGCCCCAAGCCCCAGGAACCAGGCCACATGTTGAAGGTACAACCACACGACATGAAGAGTGTCTCACTCATGCTGTCTCATGGATAAAATTCCCAAGCCTCGGACAAGGGTTTTGATTGGTCTACCTGAAGTTAGGTTCCTACCCCTTGTGTAAGCAACCTCATCTCCAAAAATCCTATCAGACGCTGGAGGGTCTGGTAATTCATGGGTGCGATTATATGACACCATCCAATTTGCTGCAGAGAAGGTAATGGAACTGGAAAATTAGAAAAATAAAATAGAAGGTTGTGGTTTACTCTAGAGGGTAAATCACTTTGAACAAAATGGTATATTTGGGGGCAGATAGGGGTTCAATGACAGGGAAGATAGCCAAAAAAGTAACTTATTTAAGAATAAATAAGAATAAAACATAATAATTTAAACTTAAAAAATAAGAATAACTTATTTTTTAACTAAAGAAAATATTGGGAGAGATTTAGTGCTAACTGTGCTGAGTTATTTAGAGGAAGCGTAAAGAGCAGAAGTGAGACTTTAGTGGTTCTTTGCAACCTTTCCTAGACTGTATCACCCTTCCCTTTATTCTCCAGGAGGGGCATTTTATGGTTCTCTAACATCCTGCATTTCCTTTTCTGGACAATCTATATAAACCTGTGGCATGAAAGGTTTGGGAGTCCTGGATTGTTCTGCCTTTCTTGTATTGCTACGAAGGAATTATCTAATTAGGGTAGTGTAGAAGTCATAACTCTCTGAGTCACGTGCGACAGAAACCAGTTCAGACTGGATTTTTAAAAGGGGGGAACATATCATGGTACAGTGTAACTGAGAAATGCTTTGGAGGGTCAGGGCAGGCATGTCAGTGTCTAGAGGAAATCGAGTGTCTTGTTAAGGCTCTCTCTTACCCTCCTTCTTGTCTCAGCTGATACCCTCTATGTGTCAGCTCCATTCACTCCTGCTAAGATCGATCTTTTTCCCTGTGCTCAAAGAAGATGACTGCTGGCAGCCTCAGCTTCACCCCTCCCTGGCACCAAGACTCAGGCAAAAAGCAACTCCAGCTGACGAGCCCTTGCAAGACTCTGATTGGCTGAGCTTGGGTCATGTGCACATCCCTGAACCAATCACTGCACCCAGGGCTAGCCTGGGTCAGTGTCTGGCCCCATGGAGGGGCAGGGTCCAGGGCACCACACTGTGGTACCTCCCAGACCACACGGTGTGTGAAAGGGATGGTCCCCCCCAAAGAAAGGGCTGTGTGCACACACACGATATCTGACCACCATGGGTATTCATCTTGTCTATTATTGTTGGACATTAAAGAGGCACATTTAGGGCCAATAAATAGCCTTGGTGCCAAGATATTGGGGCCCCAAAGATCCATCTGGCAATGCTTCCAGTGTTCATGGGCTCTTGGCATCCTGCCAGGAGATGCTAAGCGCTCATAAGCATGTGGGATTACTAAACGGGTCTCTGATAATAAACCTCCAAGGTTAAGGCTAATAGTGGCTTTATAGGCTCTTTCCTCTGATCTCTCTTGAAAATATCCTCATTTTTTGTCGTGGGATCTGGTTTGTTATGATGATGGAAGACGGAAAGGAGGGGACTAATAGGGAACTGTAGGGAAAATGTTTCAGTGGGAAAGATGTTTTGTTTGCTTGTTTTTTTGTTTTTTTTTAATTCTTTGAGATAATTGTGGATTCACAGGCCATTGTAAGATATAATAGGGAGAGATCTTTACACCCTTCGCCCAGTTTCCCCAAGGGTAATACCCTGTATAACTGTGGTATAGTGTCACCGCTAGGAAACTGACACTGATACAACCCATGGATCTTACTCGAATTTCACCAGTTTTACCTGCACTCATTTGAAGACTGGATTATAACATGTTTACATTTTATCCGTAGTTACTTCTTAGAGCTGGGCTTGATGTTGGTACTCATTATGAGAGCGAAAAAAGTTTCCTAAGTTTCTGCATTCAGATGCTTTCCTGTAATCCTCTGGGATCCGATTAGATTACACCTTGAAGGGAGAGTGGAGACGATCTCTATGACTAAATATAAATAGGCTGTTCATTTCTGTAAATTACAAGAAGTCTTGGATTCCCAGCTGGCACTGGAGACACATGGGCAGTGTTTTGCACTTTGCAGTGGAGTGTAGGGTGGCTTGGGAGGGAGGCTGGAGGAAGGGAGACGCCTAGTAAGCTAAAGCACAACTTGACATGAGATGCAGCCAAGGACTGAGGCAAAGCTGTGGAAATCAAGAGAAGGCGACACACTGGGGAGATGCAGAAGAGTCGGAGAATGGGCAGGCCTTTGCACTTGGTTGAGTGTGTGTGTGTGTGTGTGTGTGTGTGTGTGTGTTCATATCCACTACTGGCCTTCATCTGTTTCAGAACACAATCCAGGAACCCCACATTGCACATAGATGAGCTTTATTTTTGCACGCTTCATTTTGAGGAACCGATGGAACAGCTGAGGGGCATGGTCTCTTCAAAGCATGGATGATCTTGTCTCTAGTTTTGGCTGTATCTGGCAGAAGGTAAAGGTGGGCTGGAGAGTATCAACCCGCCAAAGTTTTTGTTTTCGTTTTACAAGATTTTCTAGATGTTACCTCTCTTCAACTCTGGGGAGATTTTCAGGGGATCCTGCCTGAAATCAGGTAATATATCACGTGAGTCTCCAAGCCCCTTTCCACCTGCTAAGGTGCAGGATAGGCAGAGGCTCGGAGAAGCTGCACTGTGGCTGAGGACACACAACTGACAAGGGCTGGCCGTGGGATCCCGCCCAGGGCTGCGGGTCTCCAAAGTCTGCTCTCATCGTGGAGGGAAAATGCTCCTGCCCTACTTATCTTCCCGATCACAGAAATATGGTTGTTTTGGATAAGAACTGTGATTGTCTTTGGATCCCTAGATGTGCCTGCACAGTGGCTGACATAATGCATCTTATATAGCTGTGGAAGGAAGGGAGGGAAGGAGGAGAAAAAGATAGTCTGAATCCATATACTCAGATCCTAAGCATTAGGAGGCTAAATTAATTGCTTGAGTTAGGATTTAATTAGGGCTTTAAACAACAGCTGTGCTATCTTGAGCGCCAACTGTAGATGACAGCTCACGATCCATAGTTACCTATCTGAGACACTGCACCTATTTAAGATAAGCTTCCATAAACTGAAGGCGAACAAGGAACTATATTTAAGTGGCAGGAGCAATCTCTCCACCCTTAAGTGAAAGATTGCTAATATCTCACACCTTTGGACAAGGCTGGAGATGGATAATATAGCAGAAGCAAAACATGTTAAGACTGGGAGCCGGGAGGCATGGGATTGGGTCTTGGTGGTTTATTAGCTGTGTGGCCCTGAGTAAGTTCCCCTTCCAAGGTCTCCATGGCCTCATCGGAGAAGTGATGATCGAGGTCTCTTCCAGCTGGAAAGTGGTGCTAGCACACGGTCATAGTGAGCTCTCAATGTTTTGCCTGAGATTCAGAAAGAAGAAATACCGTCCTAATTCCTTTCGTTCAGAGCTGCGTGAGCTCCCCAAAGCAGCCTCTTCCGTGTTCTCTTGACCCTTTCTGGTCTCTCTCCTGCCACTCTAGATTTTATGGATCCAGGAGGGAGAGGCCCACGCTGGCTGAGGTGTCTGTGTCTGCCTCGTGCTCACAGCTCCATGAGGACAGTCCCACATGGGACTGAGTCCTCTGTGACTGGAGCCCACCCGAGGGTGGGCAGGGAGTGGGCATCTCAGGAAAGGGTGGCTGAAGGAGTAAATGGATGAACAAACAAGCAAAGGAACAAACGAGTGATGACTCATAACTCTTGGCAAAAGGAGCCAAAACCCCAGGCAGCCCAGAAGGTCCGCCTTTTCCTGGGAACAAGTGCCCACGTGTTCGAGCTCCTGTGTGCCAAGAGGCAGCACTGCGCTCCGCCTTTCCCACCCACCACCATCCTCCCAGCAGCTCTCTGGGGCAGATGCAGTAGTTCCCTCCCATTCCACAGAGGAAGGGACCCAGACTTCAAGTGACTTCAGATCCTGATCTGCCCAAGCCAGCGTCTTGATCCCCGCACCCAGGGGGATGGGTCTGTGCCTTCACTGCCTCTGAACCCCTTGTTTCATCAACAGGATCCTTTCTGCCCGTGTGGCACTGAGAGCCCCTTCCCATATGGACAGCGGTTGAACAGAAGTGATTGGGAGCTGCATGGCCCCCTTAGGAAGACGGAAAGGTACCTGCTTTGGAATGAGATACAACTGGGTTTTAATTCTGGCTCTTCCACTTACCCGCTTCGTATTCTCGGCCAAGTCCCGTAACCTCTCTGAGTCTCTGTTTCCTCTTGTGTGAAACGAGGATAAGACTATCCACCTCTTGGGGCTGCTGTGAGGATTAAAGTTCAGCCACGGAGCGTGTTTAATACCGGGCTTGACCCACGGCTGCTGATAAACAAAGCAGTAACGGCAGCGTATCCTTAGTTTGGAACAGTTTGTTTTTCCATGCCCCTCAGTAAGGTAAGCATGGCATTTGACACCTTTTACAGATGGGGAAACTGAGGCGTGCAGGGGTGAAGTGACAAGCCCAAGGTGCCACAGTTTACGAGGGGTAGAGCTGAGACTAGGCCGCCCTGCGGGCAGATTTCCCTTTGTCTCGGTGCTCTGCATTGCCCTGTGCGGGATGGGGGGAGGGTCTCTGTCTTGTCCACTTGGCCCAGTTTGGGATGAGGACCCTGGTCTGGAAGCCCTGAGTGATGCACATCGCCAGCTAAGGCAAAGGCGCCATGCTGGGGCCTTGACGGGGGAAGCAAGGCCATAGGGCATTTGCTGAGGTCAGTGTGACTGCTGCTCCCGCCTGTGTGGCGACACAGCACCAGAACCAAGTAGTGAGTGATGTTGGGTGAGCGGTCGGGGACACCGAGTGTGGTCGGATCTGCAGGTGACAGTGGACTGATCCTCTCTGCCCTGCGTCTGAGGGTCAGGAGAGGGGAGGTCTGGGTGAGACAAGCCTCAGAATGCTGTGCCCCAGGCTCCTGGCCTCCTCCAAGGGGACACTGGAGTGGACCGTCGGAGGCCACGGGGAGGAGAGAGCGGTGGGCCGTGCAAAGCGGGCTGCACAGAGGCAAGCACGGGCCCCCGGCCCCAGCCCTTGAGTTGTGCCACTGGGTTCCTTCCACGTGAGCCTTCTCGTGGGAGAGAGAATGGGATTCACCTGTTTTTAAAAGGTTGCGATTTACCTGCATGACTTTGCACAGGGCTCATTGGAGCCCAGGGAAGTCAGGTGCACTGCCTGGGGGCCCCCGGGCTGCGCAGGGAGTGGGAGTCTGCAGCCGCCCCGGGGTGGACAGCTCTGCCACTGACACGGCACTTTATCTTCTGATTGGTCTGAGAAAGGGTCTCAACTTGGCCCAGGCTGCACTGCCAGTTAGGGTCACAGATAGGACTTGGGGACTTCCCCGAGGGATGACGTTCGGGCCCTGCCCCCTCATTTCCCCAGAGCCTCTCGTTCTGACTTTTGGCTCTATCTCCAGATGAGGTTGTGCTTAGAGGTACGCATGGGACAGGAAGGAGACATCTGTCACATCACTCTCGATAAACTATTTTCCATACCTATCTCTTCACTTTAAATGCGTCCAAAGCCCCACAAGGCTCTGGACGAGGCCGGGTAACTCAGACCCACTCAGGAGTGGGGTGTCTGTCACCCGTCTGCCTTGTGACAACAATGATGCCCCTCATCTCGCTTGTCACCCCCCTGGGGCCCCCCAAGATGTGGGGACCGGCATTGATTGAAGCCACAGCAAACTGGGCCGGCACTGCCTGTGATGCATGCCGAGAAACACACCCAGCTGCTTTCAAAGCGCCTTTCTCTCCTCTCCTTTCTAATGAAAACCCTTGTGTAATCTGTTAGTGCCGCGTCTACTGGAGCATGAATTATTCAGAGAAGTCTCTGTTCCGTTATCTCCCCTCCCAGGGGGACGCCCCTACCATTGTCCGCCCTGACGGGTCATTATGCACTCTGTGAATTTAATCTTTTAGGCTATCTGGCCACATAGAAAAAATGTATGAATAACAATTTTCCTGTAATAACCTTCAACTAACCTTTCAACCAGAGTGAGTCATTCCAATCCCATTTTCACATCAAGAGGAGTCAAAGGCATGCAGTTACCTCTCGTCTGTTTCAGGAGCTGCCCCACCTCTGCCGCACCCTTAATTTTTAGAGGGGTGTTGAAGAGCATTACGAGCCAGAGGAGGGTGTGGGAGGGTTGGGTGGTAAGAGACGGGCTCTGGAGTCCTGACACTAAGTCTGGGCCAGGGGTCCCGAGCCTCAGCTTTTTCCTGTGGACAGGGGAACCGGACCACCGCATCCAGGTCCTAGGGCCACTGCATCTGGCTCTCATCATCCAGCAGCCTGATATTTTTTTTGCCCCACTGAAGGCAGCACTAATTCCTTCCTTTGCTCCTGCATAAGGAAAAATGTCCCCTCTGCCCAGAGGTTTCCCCAGAGCCCTTCCACAGATGGCAATTTCAGATCAGTTTTAGCTTTTGGTGAGAGCTGTGGTGTCACCATGCTGCTGACATGAGAGAGGACGGGAGAGGGTGGGGCCGTGCACGCACCCAGGAGCCCTAACCTTCCCCCCACCCCTGGGTTCCCACAGTGCAGCGATCTGGAAGGAACCTGGAGTTTGGAGTCAGGTAACTGACTTTGAGAGTTGGCTCCTCCAGCTGTGTGACCTTGGGTAAGTCACTTCCCCTCTCTGGGCATTGGAAGGGTTCCATGGGTAAGATGGGGATAATAATACTTTGCAGGGTTGTTTTGAAGATCAAATGAGACATTGAAGCAATCCGTCTGGCGCAAAGCCCTGGGCCTGAGTTGGTTCCTCTCCTGGGGCTGAGGCGCCCCTACCCCACTTTCCCCATCTCCTTTTCCCCTTCCTGAGTTCAGGTGGTTATGAGCACCTGTCTCCCCCTTCCCCCAGGCTCTTTGGCTCTGAGGCAGGGTCTGATACACTCATCCATGCTCAGGTCTGAGAACAGCAGCTCCCAGTGGCTCAACAGACCCAAAGAGAGAGGAGGGAGGATGCTCACTCCAAGGTGGCCTTGGCCCACCCACTGGGTCCTGCAGAATTGCCTTTGACTCCTGGACTGCATCTTTGATTCTGCTTTTCCGGTTTGCCTCATACCAATCTTCTTTTCTTTTTTAACCAAATGGGAAAAGCAAACCCAGGGTGTGAAAGGACTTCTGCAGGTCATAATTCAGAGGGTCAAAAACAGACCCTGACAAGGACCCTGTGCCCTGACTCCCCTCTGGGTGCTCAGATCATCTCACTGCCCCTTAAAGCGCTTGGATGGTGGTGGCAGTACAGGCCCTCAGGCAAGAGATCTAAACAGACATTTCTCCAAAAAAGATGTACAGATGGCCAAAAAACACATGAAAAGATGCTCAGCATCACTAATTATTAGAGAAATGCAAATCAAAACTACAGTGAGGTATCACCTCACACCAGTCAGAATGGCCATCATCAAAAAATCTACAAACAATATGTGCTGGAGAGGGTGTGGAGAAAAGGGAACCCTCCTGCACTGTTGATGGGAATGTAAATTGGTACAGCCACTATAGAGAACAGGATGGAGGTTCCTAAAATACCCAAAAATAGAGCTACCATATGATCTAGCAATCCCACTCCTGGGCATATATCTGGAGAAAACCATAATTCGAAAAGATACATGAACCACAGTGTTCATTGCAGCTCTATTTACAACAGCCAGGACATGGAAGCAACCTAAATGTCCATTGATAGAAGAATGGAAGAAGAAGATGTGGAACCTGTACACAATGGAATATTACTCAGCCATAAAAAGGAACGAAATAATGCTATTTGTAGCGACATGGATGGACCTGGAGATTGTCATACTAAGTGAAGTGAGTCAGACGGAGAAAGACAAATATATAATATTGCTTATATGTGGAATCTAGAAAAATGGTACAGATGAACTTATTTGCAAAGCAGAAATAGAGTCACAGATGCATAAAACAAACTTACGGTTACCAAGGGGGGAAGGGGGTGGTGGTGGGATGAATTGGGAGATTGGGATTGACATATATACCCCACTATGTGTAAAATGGATGTAAAATGAGAACCTGCTGTATAGCACAGGGAACCCTACTAATGCCCTCTGGTGACCTAAATGGGAAGGGAATCTAAAAAAGAGTGGATATATGTATATGTATAACGGATTCACTTTGCTGTACAGCAGAAACTAGCGCCATTGTAAAGCAATATTCTAATAAGAATTAAATTGTTTTAGAAAGGTCAGGGACCCTTGATCTCCCTCAAGTCACACCGTGCAGGCCAAGCTTTAGCGAGTTTTTTCTCTCAGGTCACAAAAATGGCCAAGGAGGTGGTCCTGAAGTTCTGACAGTTTCCTCAGTGGGAGATGGGCTCTCTGGGCGATCACACAGACAGCACGGAGAACCCCGGGGGCCTGTGTGAATGACGGGGTCTGCGCAGAGAGAGCAAGGTGCCACGAGGGTGAGGACAAGAGAGAGAGACGGGTGAGCAAGCACTAAGCAGGGTTTATCTGCCGTTAGTTTTCAGACCGTCTTTGCCGCTTCCCATGCTCCCCGCCAGCTGTCCTGCTGTCACAGGGCAGGGATGTGCAGGCCCCATCCCACATCTGCGTCCCCGCCTGCTCCTTGGCCCCGCCCAGGAGGCCACCACCCTGGCTCTTCCACAGCCCGTATCCTGTATGCTTGCTTTGGTGCTTTTAGAGTATCCCGTCTCCCACTTGACCTGTCTTCCTCCAGAAAGCTCGCTCAGTTTGCCTTTGAGGGCTGGAGGGAGGCAGCCTGGACCCAGACCTTCCTTCCTCTCCATTCCAAGGCCTTGGATTCCTGTTCAGACTTTTCCTCCCGTCTCCCTCTGATGTATTTGCCGGGCTCTGAGCGAAGCCCCGCTGCCCCTGCAGAAGGATCTTCCTGAAAAAACGTTCCCCAAGGGCTGAAAGGGAATACAGAAAAACACTCACAGTCGTTGCCTTTGGCAATGGGATTTTAAGTGGGTTTTTAAAGTTTTACCGTTTCCTCCTGCTTTTTGGTAGTTTCCAAACTTTAAAAAATGTATGTTATAAAAGTTGACAGAATGTAAGAGAATCGCCGTTCTCAACATGTTTCCCCTCCTACTTCAGATCTAATAGTGATGCTCTGCTGCCCATTTGACACACAATCCTGGAGAACCTACTGAACGCTGGGCACCCAGGAGCGCCACCCAGAAGGCCAGCCTTATGATTGGTAGGTGTAGCTGTTGGTTTGTGAGTTCAGAGGCTTCTGGAAGACGCCCCTGTTAAAAGAAAAAACCCTCCGCCTGCTAGCTGGGCCCTGCCCCTCTAGAACTCAGACCTGAGGCTTAGAGGCAGTTTTGCTGAACTGCATGAGACTGTGGGTGCAGGCAGTCCTGCTTTGGGCTTTTCTACCAGACTAATGAGAAATGGAGTTCTCCTTCACACCATAGAAGCAGCCTAGCCTTCTGAGCTTCCCAGGTCTTGGCCATGGTAGACGGAAGAACAGCAGGGGACCCCAAGGGAACTGCCTGCCAGCCTGGGTAGGAATTGGCAACGACTAAAGACAAAGGCAGTGTTACTTGGCAGATACCATGAAGCCCGCGAGGAGTGGATGCATTCACTGCACGGAGATCCGCCACGCTGGTCAGGAGGTGCACGGGAAACACCGCTGGGCTCCTTGGAAATGCTTGACAGCGAGCGTGGCTGTGCTGTTTCATGGAAGAGGGCACGAGAGCCAGCAACATCCATGATTGTAGAAATGCAAGCCCATTTTCACTCTCAGACAAAGGGTCCATAGGCTGTTGGGCTGCATCTTAGTGGGTTGTTTGCCTACCTGCCCCCTCCCCTGGAGCCGCTCTTTGGGGTTGGGGACCATGGCTGACCCTGCCCTGTTTCCCCACTGTGCCTTGCTAGGGCCCTGCCCCTAACGGTGTGTGTAGCCGGGAAGGTAGAGGAGACAGAGCCTTTCCAAAGGGCGAATGTGAATGGAGCGACTGAGGCGAGGAGTACCAGGGCCTTTGAGCCATTTGTGAAGGAGGGAAGAATCCAAACTGACAGCTGAGGGCACCAAGAACAAAGCTTGGCGGCCACCAAGGGGATGGGGATTGCCCGGACTCGGGCCTGGGCTGCTGCTTCACCGTCTTCACAGGCTCCCAGGAGAAAGGCAGCCCCCCAGGGAGGACCTTTCCTAGGTCAGAATTCAAACGCAGGTCCATCTGTGTCTGAAGCCTGCTTGCCTAATCCATCCCATGTCCGTTTCCAGCACCCACAAGATAGTTCCCCATCCCTATGCACTTCATCTTAGCTTTGTTGATTTCTCCACTGGCCCATATAACAGTCAACGTTCCTTCACCTCCACTGTCCCTGTCACCTCCTCTTCCTCTGCCCCATTCATACCTCCATCTTTTACAATTATTCCTGACTGCCCGCTCTCAGACCCTGATATGAACATGAGATCCTTCTCCTTCTGTGCCAACTAATAAACCCTGTTGTACAGTCTCCACTCCTGGAGAGCTTGCCTTAGAGTCTGGAGCAGATTCTCCTGCAAGGAAAGCGCACAGCAAGGCTGGGGGAAAGTGCTCTGAACTTCTGGTGCCTGTTCGCTCAGATGTTTCCCATTTTGAATGTATATAAAAGAGCAAAATGGGCTGCAGAGCCAACATTTGTGCTACAAAAACATGTCCTATCAACAACAGCAACCTTCTCCCCAGAGAAAATTAGGTTGTGTATATGTGTATGTGTTTTTTTCTTTTCTTCCGGGGGTGGACGTGTTGCATTTTAATGCCTGATTTTGGCACTTGGTGCAGAAAAATAATTTTGAGATGCCAGTGGCCAAATTTTCCTCCATCCCATTTCAGAAAACTCGTTTATGTTTAAATTTCTTGCAGCTGAGTTATATACACAGTACATGGGGGCGGCTGTTCAAAATGTACACATTTATAGCTCCACTGTATTTTTTCCCCCTTTGCAATAGAGAACTGAGACATAAACACCACCCCCATCTGACTGCACACAAGGTATGTATGTGACAAAAGTAAATCCCCCGGGATTTCTGCAGCCAGGCTTTTGTGCACCCAGGCACGACACATGTCAGTGCAGATTGCCAACAGGTGTGGCTCAGGGGGAGGACAGAGCGAAGGACAGGTGGGATGACTGTGCAGAAGCTGGTGGAAAGATGGCAGAGGGGATGCACCACCCTTCTCTCCCACAGCCTGGCCCGGTCCCCCTTCTAGACCAAGTGCAAGGCACGACCACTGGTGTATGGCCAAAATGTGGGATTCTGGGCAATGCTATAGCTCTAAGATTGGCCTCTGCAGGAGAGACGAGGGGACATAAATGTCATCCCGAGTTTGGGGAGTTGCAGTAGCCTCTCTGGGGAAAGACCCCATTTACCCCTCACTGCCCAGTGGTTGAGAAACCAGCTGTTTGGGGACCCTGTGGAATCCAGGGTGATGTGTATTGGGGTGCTCCGGAAGCACAGCTTGTTTCTGAGACCCATGAGATACAACGGACAGGCACTGTCCTCCCATTTCGCAGGTGAGTACCAAGAGGCTGAGTCATCGGCCCACCGTCACACAGCCAGCCGAAGGTAGAAAGGAGCTCTGGAGCCTTTCTGGAGCAAAGGCAACAGACCCTGAGGAAAGTCTGAGGGGAATGGCATGGGTGCAGCATGACTTGAGGGACAGAGGAAGTCTTGCCTCATCCATTTGCAGACCTGAAATCCTTCTGGGGAGAGTCAGCCATTGAGTTTTGATAAAATTTCCCAAAGGTGATAGAGCACTAGATTCCTGGGATATGTGAAGTGTGAAAGGGTCTCTGTGCCCAAAGAAGTTTGGGAAATGCTGATTTAAAGAAATGTAGACTTTTCTACCTTGCAGGACTTGTCAGAGCCTTTAATGTGCTAATGATCCAATGTGGGGCGTGGGGGCACAGGTTGGAGCCTCCAGGATTTCCCAACCCCACTGACCAGGGCACTAGCTTCACCACGCCCTTACCAGGGCTCTGTAGACACACATTTTGTGAAACGCTGGATTGCGGCTGTGATGAGTTTAGAAAGGTGTATTTTCTTGGGGAGGAGTAAAATATACCAATATTGATTAAACTCTCCAAAATGCAAAGTGGTTTGCAAAAATTAGCTTTGAATCATCTGGAAGGCTCAGAGGAAATGGGACACAGCAAAGGTAAGTTTCAATTAGAAGAAGAACAGAGGGAAGTGAAACCATCTTAAATCCAACTTGAGAAAAGCTTATTTAAATGTGTTGCTGAAAAAAACAAAAAAGAGGTTTCATGCTTTGTAGAAGTTAGATTTGGCACCAGGAACTCTTCAGCTGAGCCTGAAAGGCGCTGACCCATCGCTCTAGGAGCCTGTGTCCCGTGCAAGCAACACGTGGCCAGAGGCATCACGGGAAACACCTGTTGGCCGGGAGTGGGGGAGGGGCAACTGGGAGCTGAATTGTTCTTCATTTTTAAGACGAGAGAGATTTCTGCTTTCTTATGGAAGAAAAATTTTTTGTTTGTATTTGGTTTTGGTTTTTGGTGATGCCATGATTTGAGAGCACATTTTTGCCCCATCAGAGGGTTTTTTAATAAATGAAGCCCAAAGGCAGGGGCTGGATCTCGGGCACCCCCGTTGCCTGCCTCCTAGTTTAGGGCTGAGTGCATAAGGGAAATAGTTCTGCTGAACTGGACATTTGACTCTTGCGTTTTTAAGATGGAATGCTAATGAAAAAAAATAAGTTTGCACATAGTCCTTTCTGGCAGGACTGTCCTGTACATTGTGGCTCTTTCCAGAAGAAGCCCGGGGTTGGGGAGGTGACTTGGGGGTCCATGCCTGCCTCTGCTTCTCTGTGGGTGGCCACAGGCAAGTCTCTTAACCTCTCTGAGCTCCAGTTTTCTCACCATAAAATAAGGATCCTAAAAGCTGCCTTGCTTATCTCTCATGTGACGGAAGCGTTAAAGGAGTGAGGGAATAAACACATGTTGTAAAATTAAGATGCCATACAAATACCAGTTATTATTACATGATGGCATTTAAGCAATGTCAGGAAGGCCTCCTTGCCTATCTAGAAATACCTTTTGTCAAGGATTGTCAAGGGGCCTGAAATCGTATCATTAGAAATGCATTCCCTGGGATGTTAAAGGCTTTTAGATCTTTAAGACGTCTTCACTAAAATGCATTTGGGAGACATCAATATGAAGCCATTATCTCTGAGCCCCCGAGAGCCTGGCGGAAGAGATGGACTTGTCCAAGCTGATAGCAAACTAGCAAACCAGCTGAGGGGGCAGGGAAGTGACAAAGAAAAGTAGGTGTTCCAGGAAGGGATCCCCAAGACTGTGAAAGACCAGAGCTTCTTACCCTTGACTGTGCCCACAAATGGCCTGGGGATGGAGTTAAAATGCAGATTCTGATTGGGGGGGGGGGGGCTTGAGAAGGGCCTGAGAATCTGCATTTCTCACAAGCTTCCAGGTGATGCTGATACTGCTAGTTTGAGGTCCACATTTGTAGTACAAGTATAATAATACAATAACTAACAGCAAATCCAACTCTCCCAAGAGCATCTGGCTTTGGCCGAAGGCCTAAGCACTGTAGGATTTGGTGGTTTGGGAGGAATTCTGAAAAAAGGCACTGTTGCCTTGTGAGAGGAGAGTGACTAACACGTGGGGATGCTGTTTGTTAATTTGGATGTGTTGTTTTGTGTGGACTTGGTTAGTGAGCTGTGCTCTTAAGAACCGTTAAGATGTGCATGCAGGATGGGGCCTTGAGACCTTGCTGGGCTCTACCCTCCCACCCTGACAGAGTCCAGTGTGAACTAGATCTCCCTGCCCACCCTCATCCCCTGCCCCACTTTCCCCTCCCCTTGCTTTGTCACCTCCCCCTAGCGCAGGTTTCCTCGAGCCTCTGGCTCTAATCTGCCTCTGCGGGTTGAGTGGTGCTTATGTGTGTACATATATTTCTATCTATCTATCAATCTCTCCCTCTTCCTCTCTCCCAGTTTCTCCCTCCTCTTCCTATCCATCATCGAATCATCATCTCTGTGTTTCTTCTCTAGTAGCCGGTTCCCGGAGGAGGGGTGACGTATCAACTCACCAGATCAGTGTTTACTCCCCAGGAATCCCGGGCATTTTAGCACTGGATGATGAGCCCCTGAGGGCAGACGCAGGTGTTCCTCTGTTTGGAGCTCCACATCTCGGATCAGGCATGGACCAAGAGATGTGACAGTTGTAACTTGTAACAGCTCCGTGTGGAGCTGGGTTTGCAGGTCTCACGGCAGGCGCCTCTGAGCCCCAGGTGAAGCGTACACTGCTCCCAAGCTCTTGTTTGCCCCGGTCCTGGAAGTTACCACATGAGGACGAATAAGGAAGACTCAAAATATAGTGAATGAGACCAGTCATCTACCACCATGGGAGCCCAGCTGATTATCTGTGAACATATGATTGAAGGACCTCTCCCCCCTGCATGGCCGGGGCATCCTTCAGAGAGAATGACTGGGGAGGGGTTAATGCCAGGGGGAAGCCTGGGCTACCAGAAGGGAAGAGCTGCACGGTACCTCTAAAGAGGGGGACTGGGGGAACACATTGGTCTCCCAGCATCCTGGGCACATGGCACCTGGTGGGGGGGAAGACCTGTCCTTACAGGGAAGGTCAGGTCACAAATATTTAACTTGATGACCGGAGCTCATTGATGGGCACGTGAGGGCTCATTATACTACTCTATTTTTGTGTAGATGACATTTGCCAAAATAAAAAGTAAAGGAAAGAAGAAAAGAGAGAGAGAGA